TATATATATATATATACATACATATATATATATATACATACATATATATATATATACATACATATATATATATATATATATATATATATAAAAAACCTAAACTGCTGCCACTGTTCATGTTCATGTCTGCCGCAGCCTGCATCCTTCTCTGCTTGCAACCATCATCTCCTACCTCTCCTCCTCATAATCCCCCATCACCCCCTTCCCTCCTCTTCTTCACCGCATTCTTCCCTTCTCGGTTGCCTCATATCCCCCTCCTTGACTGATGTTGCCTCCTCACCACTCCTTGATGCCTCCTTCCCACATCTCCTCCATGCTGTATCTCCTCTGCTCCTTCTCCACTGTCACCTCTCCTTACGCCTCCTCTCCTCCGTGCCTCTCCTCTCCTATGTCCGCCTCTTCTTTCCCCTTACCTCCCTGCCTTTTTATCACATTACATTCCGGCGCATCATATGTTGGTACATCAGAACAGATTGCACCTGTGTCAGTCCAGTAATCAAAATTGCAAACCTTGCTATAAGAAGCTATGGATTAAGTAACTGAAATTGCAAACCTGTGTCAGTCCATATGTTCTTTTTGTTTTTGGCTCACATGGACTTTTAAGTTTTTTATTTATACACAGGTAATGCAATAATACTCGCATTATATTCAAATTGCAAAATGAGCTGAATGGATAACACTGAACTAGAAGAACACAAATGGGTGCATTAGCGCAATAATCTAGGTATTGCATGGAAGAAAATATGTATATGATCCAACATATTATAGGGAGTACTGAAATTGATGAAATCAGACCTACTTTACTAGGTACATAAAAAGAAAACAATAGAAAAGTATTACTGAATTTCATTAAAAAAATGTAATATTCAAGCATAATGCTCCAATACATAAGTCCATCAGGTCAATCAAAACCTTCTGGGCTTCCGTCCCTATTTTTTGGTTTCATGTTGCAAACCTCCCAAAGAAAGCACTTAGTACTACAACTTATTATGCAAAATGTAAAGCTTGGTCAAGAAATTCACCATCTTAGTAAAGCATGTAATAGTAAGTGCCTTTTCGAGGGCTAATTACATATTATCCATGTACTTGGACCCTTGTAGCATAGTGGAAGTACATTGGGATCTTCATAGTTATAAAAGTAAGACAATTCACCCATTTCCCCTGACATCGTTTGCTATTCTGACCGAAAAAACTACATGTGACATCACATACTGGATTGATGCCAACCTAATGGGCAAAATTGTCATTTCAATTTTTTTTTCTATTTCCTATTGTCTTGCCCAAATTAAAGTTCATTAGTCGACTCTAGTTTGATCAGAAACTTGGAGTAGCCGAAAGGTCTCGGTGGACCCTACAAGATCCACTACAATGAGTTCTCCCTAGCGGACTAGGACATCGTTCTCTTCCAGGAAGTTTTGCTGGAGGGCTTGAACTGTTGCGAGGTTCTTGTGAACTACGACGGCGGTGGTGGCTTGGGCGGAGGGCATTCCTCTGTGATAGATCTCAAGGAGGGCTACAATCTTGTTGCAGGACCGGATGATGATTGTGTTTTCCTTGGTTAACATTAGGGTTTGGAGGGCCACACAAGCCTTCTCCTTTGCGATGCTTCCCTCAGACTCTAGGATGCGGGAGAGGTGGTTGAGTGGGCCCTCTGCCAACAGGTGGCAATAGCTTTGCACGGTTGAGATCCTCACGATCGCTGTCACGGCCTTCTCCCTCGCCTCATGGCAGGAGGCAACACCAACAACAGAGTTGATGAGACGGACCAGCATCGGTACCAACCCATTGGCGATAGCGAATATGGTGTTCTTGTTGTCCTCGTGGAGCAAGTCGAGTAGAGAATCCAACGAAGCAATCATCGAAGTGGATCTCTCGATCTGGAGGCGGATCACGAGGCTTCTGGTCTTCGCCCGAACAGACTCGTGGTGGGAGCTCCTACCCGTTGCCTTTGACAGCAAGTCAAGGAGGGCGCCAGAGCCGAGCAGGAGTTCGGCGCTAGTGACTAGCTGGTGGAGGGCCGCGGAGGTGGCCACGATATCGCTCTAGGTGCAGAGCCTGGTGATGGGAGGATCAAGGGAACGACAATGGATGGCGAGGGCTAGGGCGAGGGAGCGGAGGAGTTAGAGTCGACTTTAGTGGCCATTGAGGAGAACTTGTTGTAGTGGATCTATAAGGGCTATTGGGGCCCTCTAGTTGCTCCAGGTTTTCAATCAAATTAGAGTCGATTAACAAAAGAAAAGTTGAAATGACCATTTTGCCCATCGATTTGGTGCCAATCCGGCACGTGATGTTATGTGTTGTGTCTTCTATCAATACAGCCGATGGCGTTTGGAAAAATGGGATGAATTGTTTCACTTTCAGAACTATGGGGATTCTAATGTAAAATTTTAAATTATTGGGATTGCAATGCTAAGAGAGTCCAAGTACAGGGGGTAATATGTAAATAACCCCCTTTTTGGCACTTCTTTTAGTGATTGGGAAGCATGAAGTATCACAATCCTCCTAGCCAGAAGAAGAATCTTTTTGAACTGTTGTTGGTTCATTTAATTACCATCTACAACTATAATCAAAGACATTAAATTAAACTGATCTTTGAAGAACCCAAAAGGATCTTGGGCTACAAAAATGCACCTATTGATCACAAGCATTGTTTATGTCTCATTGATGTGCAAGAGAGAAATTTTCATTGTTTGTAATGTTGCTTCTATACCTTCTTATTGTTTAGTAGAGCACTGCACATTCATTACTTCAATGGTTTGGCTTTGCTTTCATGACTTCTCGCATCTAATACATATTTCACTCTTGCTGTTTATCATATGAATTCTGTGTTTCTTTCTTGTGAATTATTTTTTTGGTTACATCTAGGATTTTGAGAGGTAATGGACAAGTTGTGGATGGTGATAAAGGGGTAGTGTACACCCACCGGAATCTTCCATTGTAGTAAGTTATGGAATTTAATGTCAATTTTCAAATCTTATGTAAAGTTCAGTATGTTTACTTATTAGATTTAACTATTTCTGGTTAAGATTTAACTATGTTTAGTATCTTTTTTGGGACTTGATGGCATTATTGCTGTTGTATTTTATAAAATTTGTCTACACCACATCTAAACTTGGGAGGTGAAGGTGAAGAGGAAGATGCTAGGAGAGGTCAAGGGCAAGGATAAGAGAATATGAGTTTAATGGCCATAGGGTTTTGATCTTTCTGGTTGAACATTGAGCAGTCTGGCTGATATAACCTTTCTTAATGACCCTTCTTTTAATGCTGATGTATCTATTTATCTGGTTCCCATTGTGGTGAATCTCTCTTTTTCTGTATTTCATCCATTACATGACAATGGTGAATACATCCTATTCTTCTCCGTCAACCATTGTACAAAACACTGTTACCTTTTTAAGACCCCTATAGAGTTCGTGCACTAGATCCAACCATCAAACATTTCTGAAAATGACTCTGTAGGAAATATCGAGTTTTCTTTTCATCATGAAATTCTCTACCAGTTTGGTATCTCATTGGGGTTAGGTCAACGTAGGAACTGCAGAGTCATATTGAGCCCAAAATGAATTTTACCTGCTGCAGGTTTAAATATTGGGTTGTAGGATTTATACCCTTTGTGCTTCAGACCTGACTTACGGATGGACCATATCTGACCTGGCACCCTTTCTTGTTTCAGCAATGTCGGGCTCAAATTTGAGATTTAGACCTCCGGCCTGCTTCACATCTGGAGTATTGACAAACCTACATACAAATGAACTTCTTTAATGTCCTGTAAAGTGTTGGGCTCAAATTTGAGATTTAGACCTCGAACCTGCTTCACATCTGGACTATTGACAAACCTACATACAAATGAACTTCTTTAATGTCCTGTAAAGTGTAGGAATAAAGTGCACTAAAAGGATTTTCATAATAGTTCATTTGAATTTCATAAAAGGATTATATAGTGCTCCTATCTACATTGCCTATTAGTTGTTTTACGTTATTTCCTCATTCAATTTTCTTTACAGGCAAATGAGAACTTGAGCTTTGAAGGGATGGGGATTTGGTTCACTTGATGCGAGAGTTGGTTCCAGCATTCCCAAAGTATTTGCGTGTCTGTACTGTAGGAACTCTTCGAAGTTGTAGCAGCAGTTTATGGTTGTTGTTTATGGCTAAGGTTCCTTTCTGAATAAGGTCACGTCCCCACTCCATGTGGTTGATGTATCAAATGCTTGTTGCCTCTGCTATCATGAGATTTTTTATTTGATACAGTGTCAATCTTTTCTAGAACTTTAAAATGATATTCGGTGAGCTCGTGGCAGTTTTAATATCTTGTGTCATATATTATTTTATCTGTTATCTTCTACTATCCTAGTCTCAGCTGCTGTTATCAAGGAACACTTGCATACTGTTCCATTCCGTGAAGTGCAAGTGTATTGGGATTTAGAATCTAGAGCAGCTCTTTTCTGGGTTGTACTAGACTTTGGGATCTACTCTTTCTACTTCATAATCATTTGATCCGGATACTACCTTGAAATATTGTTCTTTTGGAAATTGCTTGAGTAGAGTAGAAAGGATGTAACTATTTTGTTCCCTTATTTACCTCCCTCATTGCTCTTCAAAAAGATTTTCCAGGTACTGATTATGTGAATATTCAGATTTCAGATTTTCTATAAATCTTGGTTGAGCCATATTGTCTCTCTTGCTACATCAATTGTCATTCATTTCTTGCCCAGCAAGTTGATATGAATTGTTTGATCTGATTTCTAATCGATAGTTGTACACCTGGAAATGTGGATGCCTCCAGAAGTATTTATTTTTTTGTATACTTGGATTTTATTTTGGGCATGGTTTTTCGTCGTAAACCATTCTGTCTTCATCACATAACTTAATTGCTTTTGGATTCTGATCGCATGAGTATGACTCATTATTCTGACCTTGTCAGTGCTATGTTCTTTTGTTCTTTAGCTGAAACATCGATTTGGTAGTCTTCAGTAATCAATTTCTACGTATCCATTCAGCAGCTACTTGTTTTCATGCACACAGGTGTGAGATCCTGCAGCCGCATAACTTTAGAGATAACACACAAAACAAGTTTCATGCACAGATGTAGAAGCTGGTGTTTTATTTTTATGCTATTACTCTATTTGGGCAATCGTTCGACATCTTTAATCCTCACTACAACATCAAGTGATCCCAGACTTTGAATGGAATTACATGCTCGATTCCTTCCGAGTTCCGAGCAATCAACTCGTAGAACTCTTAGAGCACTACGCCACAGGAGGGCGTAGCACATGATCCTGAGAAGTGTCCAAAGCTGCCGGAGGTACCCATTGCCACATGCAAATTGGCATATATGCAAAGGTTTTGTCGTTCGTTGCAGGCACCGCAGCAGATTGACCTGTGAAGCTGATGCCTCTAAGCATTTGCTCCATCTGCTCCTTCTCACACCTCAGCCTCGTCTTCTCATCCCTCAGTTCCGATTTCTCCGCCTGCAATCCAATCCCAACCTTTCTGATAACAGCAACAAGACAACAGAGAAAGATGGGAGGAAAGCTTTACCTTTAGATTCTTTATCGCATCTTGCAGTGCCTCGTTCGACTCCTTCAGCTTCTTTGCTTCAACACGCAATTGGATTAGCAGATGAGTGGCGTCTCTTAGAACGGCAAGCTTGTCTGCCTTGGGAGGCTTCCCGGGATCCAACACACAGCACAATTCTCTGAACCTGACCAACGTTCATAGCAACATCATCCATCAGCAGTCAGGTAAACGCATGTAGTTACACCGATCGTTGTACCTGTCGTTGAGTCTGTCTCTCCGCAATTTCTCACGGCAAGCCTTGGTTCGTGGTGCAGCAGATGATTCCACTCGTGCTCTGCGAAACAGGAAGAACACTTGTATGTTCTTGATGTCTTTTCCAATGGAAATATAATTGGTTGTACAAATAGGGAAAAGAAACATGCACAGTAAGGAGCGTTCTTAATCCACCTTGATCATGGACAGGACATGTTGAATGAACTCAATACCTACCGTTTCTCCAGGGGAGCATCCTCCTCGTCCTGCAGAACCTCGACCTCAAGCCCAAGGATCGCGCTGTACATATATGATCACAAGTAAGTAACATCATGGATCTTTAGCAGTTGTCAGAAGCATTGCAACAAACATAAAGCGTTCAAGGATTGAGCGGTGAATGGGTCGTCATGTTATCCCTTGCAGAACAACATTCGCATAACCTCGAGGCAGCGGGATCGTGAAGGAACTGAGGAGACCAGATGTAGTCGGCGGCCGGGAAGTCGTCCAGGAGCCCGTAATCCATAAGCCATCCTCCTCCGTTGTCTTCGTTGGAGCTCATCATCTTCCCAAAACAACTCCCTGCACGAACAAAGAACTAGAGATGACCACATCACCAGGGAGAACCACGCGATGCCTTAACGAGACATCCGCAAGGGCATCGAATGATGTGATGCCGATGCCGATGGGGTCGGATAGCGCCGAGCGCACAATGGCGGATAGAGACGTCTGCCACTGCCCACAACAGAGTCGCCATTGGCGAAAGGAAGTGACCCCAAAAGCACCACCTTTTTCTTTGGTTCCACGTTGACCGCAGTCCACTCACCAATCGTGATTGATTACTACTAGAAATCCGAATGAAGCACTCGATGAGCAGCCTTTATGGGAGTGCGATACAGTGACTTCGGCTCGATCGGCGTCGGATATGGTGGATGGGATCTTAGAATCCAGTGATGGAGAAGCTACGACAGCAGCATCATTCTGCTGCAATGGACAAGTGGCTGCCGGAGACAACGAAGAGACACGCGTTACGGTACGAGAATCTTGCGGAAGGGAGGCGGATGGATTTGGCTGCCGGACACAGCGAAGAGACGCGCCTTGGGGCACGAGAATCTTGCGGGAGGAAGGCATGCGCGAAGACCCAAGTAGATTAAGATCTGCAAAAGCCGGCTGTCAACTTCGTCCCCTCTCTCTCTCTCTCTCTCAATCTCAATCTCAATCTCTCCCAAAGAAGGACAACATCGTGCTTTCAAGAGACGCAAAGGATTGCTGGTGCTTCCAAGGAAGAGGTGAACCTCGCGTGCAGAAGAATGGGGTGGGGGACAAGGATTGATTCGTGTCGACATCACAAGACAATCTATGAACCTTTTGCACTAATCTCATGACGAATAAACGACTCGTATCACCTCAATAACAGGTAATGCAAGGTTGATAGGTCAAGAAAACCCAAAGATATTAAGAATTATTTTTTATATCAAAAATATAATATAATAGATAATTAATTATGATATTATATCAAAAATATTAGTTAACTTAGTTGGTAAATATTTTGACAATATAATTCAAGATTTTGGACACGAATCTCGATTTTATTATTTATTTTATTTAAAAAATTAAAATTAGAATTTTGGAAAATTATAATTAATAAAATTACTATTTATCTCATATATAAAAATAATATGGGTAAACTTTATGGTGTTATGAACTATGTTATAATTTCACGATCAAGATGAAGATGAATTGAGTTATTTTTTACTCTAGAATTAAGTGTAATATAGTTTATTTATGAGTGGAATATTTATTATAAAGGTTACACATCAAAATTTAACCTTACAGGGAAAATATGACCGAGTGCTAATATCATATGGTTTGTACAACTCACTTTAAACTTTGACGATCGAAAAAAATATGATATAAATTGTCACGTCGAGTATGAATCATTGACCTAAAGTATTTAAATTCAAATTAATAGTTATGATTATTATAAGTTAATTTAACTTATCGTTGATATTTGATATAGGGCTAAACTATAATATCATAATCTCTCCTTATTAAAGACTTGAGATAATATAACCAAAATCAGAAGTTAGAATAGTGTATGTAAGGTTTAATCTACTGGTGATTTCATATCCTACTATGTCATCTATTAGTAGACTTACTCTCTCATTTTACCTAATACTTTATATTTTGATACGAATTATCGTGCCCTCATCTAATGGGATAACAAACATCCCATCAAAAATGAGGTACAAGTCAGATTGACTTATAAAATTTTGGTAGATGTATTATAATTAACTTACTCTTAAGTATTTTAGGCTAGTATTTTAGGTTTAATAAAATTAATAAGTTATTATCTTGGATTCAAATCATCTGCTTAATGAGAACATAAAAAGGGGGCTCATGTAATATAGAGTTAGAAGACACATTATAACATAAAATTATCATGGGACTAAATCTTATATACTTATAAGTGGGGGAGATTATTATTGAAAATGAGTTATGTTAGAATCAAGAACGATACTAATAGAGGATAAGAGAGGATGAATCACTGCAGTGAATAAAAATGATAAATTTAAATAATTTTGTAAAACTTCATATGATGAAACTCTTAGTTCGATGTAAATCATTTTGAAAAAACGTTTCACTCGAATAAATTTGTAAGTGAGTAGAGAGAAGGAGATTAGACGGTCTGCAATAAAGTAAAGTAGAATGTAACAAAAGTAAAGTACACGTCAATTTTATAGTGGTTCATCATTCGATCTATATCCATTGCCGACACCTCTTCCAATGAGGTCATTAGTTTCCACTATTGATCTTTCTTGAAAGGCAAAGATCAATCATCCATTTACGGAACTTTCACAAGTGGCTCACTCTCCTTTTATAAACTTTCACATTTAAAAATGGAGGTGAACTCTCAACTTTTGCAAGCTATTTCACTATAGTTTCAATTCAGTTCTTATCATTTCTCTATGCTTTACTAGCTGAGAAGTAAAAGGTATTTATAGCCCTCAATTGGCTTCAGAATTGGAGTCAAAAAGTGTCACATCCTTAGTTTTCGAGGTACTAGTGGTACCATCACCATTATTGGGCAATACCATCGCTAACAGACTGACATTAGGTGGTACCACTGCCTAGTCTAGCGGTACTACCACTTAACAAAGCCTCGGAGACTGGGCTCTAGCGGTACCATTACTTGACAACCTTTTGTTGAATCTCGGAATTTGATGATGAAATCAATTGATGGGTTAATTGATCTAATCCATATTATTGAGTTAAGTATGCAGGATTAACTACGATAGCCTAAAAACATAAAGCAAGGAAACCAGAGTCAAGTTCGATGGGTGTTTGAGAGTCCGAAGATTCGTCGGAGATGTTGCCGAAGCCAACCGAGAAGAAATCGAGGACGTGTTGGAGTTTTCGAAAGTCCGCCAAAGAGATCGTCGGAGGTTCGCGGAGATCACCGAGAAGGCTCGGCTACTCACTGAACTCGCCACAAGATCGGGAGCCTGTTGGGAGTCCGCCGGAAGAAATCCGAAGG